TTTTTCAAATCTTAGAAATATTTTTCACTGCTAAACAAAGAAAACATCATTAAAGGAAAATTAATAGAAAGTTTGAGGATGACTGTTAGATGCAAAGGTAAGTAATCACACTGTAACTGGCTAGCTACAAGAACCCAGTGAAGTGAAAGTACACCATTCAGAGCAAGGCCAGTATACCTTGCAGAATATTTATCATTGATATGATGAACTAGACAAATGGAAGCTAGCTGCAGTGATACACTTACTACATAATACTAACTTTTAAAATGAGAATTTGGATATTAGCAAGAGCGTATTATTTTATGACTTTCTCTTCCTCAACAATTCTTTCTGTTTTAGGAGTTTTTGCCTGACTACTTTCACCTACTCCTCTTGATGGGAACCAAAATTTAATAGACAAGAGTTGCAGAAGAGGGACAGTTTTCTTTTACCTAAGGTGGGATGGTGGGGCTGCTTTTAGATGCAAAAGCTAATACAGCAAATATCTAAAACTTTTTTAGCTAAGACAAGATGGTGTCAATGAATAATGATTTTACACAGCTTATCTAGATGCTGAAGTATGTATAGGTGACATTTACCTTAACTCTTTGCCTGAGCTATGCAGGTTGTAAATAGAAAGGTACAGTCAGGTACATTTAAGAGTCTGAGACCTTTCCAGTTGTGAGCTGACTGAACTGCATGGTTTTCCTCTTAAGTAAGGATCAAACCCTGTTTCTCCTGATGTGACCTATGTGGGTCAAAGAGAGATAATGTAGTTGGAAAGTATACAGTTTTCAAAAATTGGCTGCCTGTCTAAGCTGTATTTATATCATCTCCTCCTCAGCATTATTATTAAGATGCTTCAAATATAATCTTTAAAAAGGAGAAAATGTTTCATGTGCATTTTATATTTTAAATGTGAAACAACATAACAGTTTCTGCTTTAAAAAATATCAAGGCCTACCGTCAATGTAGTGATGAAAAATACACTACTTGGCTTTCTGGGAGAAGAAAAAATTACAAAAACAATTGGAATTTATTTCATTCAGAGCAAGAAATTGAATTGAATTGAATAAGAAAGCTCTTTCTAAGAAAATAACGTAATTGTATTTGTACACAGCCAATGAAATAATCCCCAAGTGCTTTGAAGTTCAACTATTTCAGTAAATTATCAATTTGGGTCTGTTTTTAATCCACTTTACCATAAAAAAAAAACCCCACAGCTGTACATATTTTTAAATAAATATTAGGAAAGAATATTTCTTATGTTCTAAACTCCTTAAATTTCACACTCATCCCAATGACCTTTAGCACTGTTCTCCACACAGCAATGATATTAAATACTTTGAGATGATAAGTAGAAAGGCATGTCATGTAAATTATAGATAATTTTCTGTTGCATTACCCTTACAGTATTACAAATCACTGCAGGATGTCTGTGGTCAAGTCATGCATGTTGTCAAGCCAGCCAGCATGTGGCGTCATGGACATGTGCTGTGCACTCCCCTAGTAATCATAACCATTACACATAGATCTTATCTGCTGCTCCAAAGAAGGCTGCAATTAGTGGCTAGGCCAATCAGACCTAATAGAATGCTAAGGCCTTCCATCCTACAAGCAAGCACTCAGAACTATGCAAGAACTTTTATAACTCTTAAAGCTGCCAAACCCACATTATTTATTTATTTATTAGTATTAAAGTGCATCTTGTTGGGAATGTTAAGAAAATGTCACAACTATTCCAAGATCTCCTCTTTCCAAGGTTCACTCATGCTCCCTACTGACTTGCTATAAGTCTGAAAGGTTCCTGAGGTGCCTCTGGTCATGAAAGACAGTTCTTCATCTCATTTTCACAAAGCTGTTTTTAAAGTAGTACATATTCACCCTGTGATAACAAATTCTAGTGCCTTTAACCGAGGAAGTGGATAGCCCTAATCTGTACTAATACCTTGAGACTCTGCTTTTACATGCATACACACACTATTCTCTCTATATAACTTACTAGTACCTTAATTAGATTTGAATTAATAGCTATTTATTTTGGTTTTATTCTTAATTAAACACTGTGATTTTTAGTTGGAGATGAAATAAGGAAGACCTGAGTTTGAAGGTAAGGATGTTATTTTTAATCTAACCAGGAAATGAATAAACATCAGAAGATAACAGCGAAGAAACTGCTTTTCTTGCAAACATTAGTAATTTCTATTAATTCTGTGCAGCAAGTTATAGTAAAATTGTTTTTGTTAAGCACAACTTAAACATCATCACTTGTTTGCAGCAGTATTTATTCAGATCACGTATCTTTAAATGTTATGTTTGAGTTATTTCCAGCCTGCTCAGTTTCCCATGTAGTACTACAAGGTGTCCTGTACAGTCCTTTTTCAGCCCTCTGACATCTTCTCGTCACTCCTTTATCTAACTACTCATCAATGACAGTCCTAGGCACTCCAGTGGCTCAGCTGTACAGCTTTAGTAGATTTCCTGCTTCCAGGCCTGCATGATATTGAATTGTCCTAAATTTAAAGGTCATGCTTCAGAAAAGTAGTTTATTATCTGAAATTTAATTTCAAGAATATTTCCTAACTTGGGCACAAACCATTTTGACAGCTTCATTTGCTCCTGGAACAAAGGCTAAGATTTATGTTTGAATACTTGAATGAGTCCTGGAGAACCAGATAACCACCAGGATGTGGTTTAGGATAGAAGTGAGGTTAATTTGTACCAAGGTAGCATACTTCATGTAGGAGAGGCCGAAAATTGTGTAGGATTCATGTAGGAGAGGCACAAAGGCAAGACCATGAAGACAGAAAGCACTCTGAAACAGTCTGGCATAGTGCTGTGGGCATTAAGCTCCATTTATTCATTTACATATTCATTTACATCTACTAGATATCGCTTGACAGAACTCTAAGGCACTCAAACAATTTTGTGTGGTTATTGAGAGATCTTTTTTGGGGTTGTTTAATGTTACTTACGTGTGAAAAAAGTATTTACTTGCCTATACCTTTATGGCATGAAGGTTGAAGCCTGTTGGACTGTGTTATCTGTTTGTTGTGTTATCTAAGTAGTACCTTTATCTTCATGTAGGATCAGAACAATGGCTGAGCACAATCCAACAAGGCCCAAGGACATTTAAGAAGCCATTTTAGAAGAACAGTACATATCATTGTAAATGCTTAAACATAACCTGAAGACTATCAAGATAATTTAGCATTACTAGTAGCAGTTAACTTACTGAAAATAAATACCATAAGACTAAAAGATGATGGTAGCAAAAATGAGGCACTTTTGAAAGTTTGGAATACCTGCCAAAAAACAAAAACAAACAAACAAAAAAAACCACAAAAACAAACAAACAAACAAAAACCAAAACCCTAGACTTCAACTTTCTAATTTGAAACACGTTACCTTCAGAGAACCTACAGTTAAAAGAGAATAACCACCAGAAAACAGTAGTGGAAGTAAAAGAAGAATAAATAAAGAAAGAAAAAAAAAAAAGGCCTAAGGGCTGCTAGGTGTCATTTTGATTGTGCCCAAATGTGCATTCTTCTTTCTTCTTCTTGATTTCTGGAAGCAGTAATTTAATGACTTCCTCATCTTCTATGTTACTGATCTGTGTGGCTGTGGAGACATCATAAAATTCAGAAGACTCAATATTTACATAGTAGATAAAAACACACATCAGGGCCAATCTCAAGTTATCTTTCTAAAAAGGATAGTCATGGGCTTTTTGAAGGACTGAACACTACAACAGTCTGACTGTCCTTGCTACCACCTGACATTTTTTGTGGCATTGCCTCTCAGAGCTGTGGCCTGTATTCCCTACTTCTCATGGCTGGGCACCTGGGCATAAGCCCAAGGGTGCTGGAGATACAACGGGTAACAAGGATCATACTAGAAAGGAAGCTGTCTTTTTTGGAAAAATATACTCAAATGATAGGAAAAAGAGAAGGACACTGGAGGCTGATAATCTTTGCAACAAGGATGGGAGGCACTAAAGCTTTTGTGGGAAGCTGCTGCCTACAACAAAAGTTGATCAGCCTGTTTCTACGACAGCTGTGCAAAAATCCATTGGAATTAAGGTGAGTCACTTGGTGGAGTTGAGAGCACATTTCATGAGCAGTCTGCAGGAGCAGCAGTATGATAGACAGTAATTGATTGAGAAACTGAGGCCACTGGGAACAACTATCAGTATGTCACACCAGTAACTAGAAGACAGAATGATGGGAACAAAATGCACACACAGCAACTCACCAACCTACAGTGCAATGTCAATAAATAACAGAAACTGATTACAGTTCCTGTTAACAATCATACAACAATGCAAAGTTGTAAACATCACAAACGACAGTACAAAAAATATTTGGTATGTTTAGAGTGCATGTTTTCATCCCAAATTGTTGTTGTTAAGTTTGGCCACAGTGAGCGCAGTGCTGCCGGAAGTGTGACATGGAGACTGGACACCTCAAATCAGGAGCAGAGTACAGGGGCAACATTTGTTTCCAGTTGCACTCTTTGAGTGTGGTGCTCTGTTACAATTCAGCTGAGGTCTGATGCTTTATAAAATGTGATGGTTGTGCCTTTCAAGAAGTCCCAAGCTGCACCAGCCGCTCTTGCTCTCCTGGCAAAAGGTTCCCTTCACTGCTGTAGCGCTGTTCTATTTTCAGACCATTTAGAAAAGCTAGAGCCACTCCTACACTGCTGCTATTCTTTGACAAGCCGCGAACACATTTCAGTTCTCGGCAAACTGAAGGGCTGCTTTATAAATGCGCTCCACTTCAGAGCCTTGCCCATTTCAACTCCCTCAGCCCTTGCTCGGGCCCTAAAGCCGCCTCGGGACGCTCTCTGCCTAGGGTTACTTTGTTCCCTCCCGTCCGGAGATCCAAAACTCCCAGCCCAGCGTTTCGCTTTCCCCTACTTCCCAAACCAGCGCCCGGCCGGGGGCCGCCACCGCGCCCGGTTTGCGGGCGGCCCGGGACGGTGGCGGGCGGAGCCGATTGGTGCAACGAACGCACGTGGGGCCGCCCTCACGCCTCAGCGCTGGCAGCGCGGCGGCTGCCGCCGCTGGGGTTCCGTGCGGTACGGCTCGGCGCTCACGGAGCTCACCGCTGGACGCTCAACGGCGCCCGCGCCGCTGCAACGAGTAGAGGAGAGAGATCCCGCCTGCAGGAAGGTGAGCGGAAGGCGGCGGTAGTCCGCGGGCCACGGTGGCCGCAGGGAGGGGTGGAGGGGCTTGGCTGCCCGCATTGTGCGGTGCGGGGGCTGAGCCGTCAGCCGAGCTGCTGGGGCTGGGAAGTGCACCAGAGGAGCTGTAGGGAAGTGGGCTGCGAGTCAACGACTAACTCCGCGCCGGTACCTCATCTCGCACCTCGCCGGAGCGCGGAGGCCGGGCGACGTGGGTCGGGGGGCGGGTGCGGGTCTGGCAGCGCTGCTACGGGCGGAGCGGTGTTGCTCTGCCCGGCGGGGGGTTTCTCGCCGGCACTGACCCTCACCCGCGCGCGTCCCCTTCGCTCTTCTCGGTGAGGCTTTCAGAGTACTGAAAAGTGACGGAACGCAGGATAGAAAATGTAAAGTGTTTCTTCTGGTCTTCTTCAGCGTAAAGTGTTAGGGAATAAACCTTATAGTCCGGGGAAGCCGCCATCACTGCCTATCCTGCTTTCTGTTACTGCTGGCTTTGTTAATGGAAAGTTAAACTTCGGTTTTCTGGCTTCTTTCTCCTGTTGGGTGGCACCGATTCTGGTGGAGTCTGAAGTTCAAGGGAATATTTACCGTAATTTAGAGAAACGTGCCATTCATCTATCACATTTGTCCTCTGTCAGACAACTGGAGGAGTTTATGTTGGGTGAATTCCTTCTCTTGTAAAAGCTCTCTGTCTTTCTGTAAGTACAAGCTTTTAGTATATTTTCAGCTTGGCTGTTTCTCTTTTATGAGTCAGAAATATCTTCTCATTGCTTGAATGGCATCCACAGTCCCATAACATTCCTTTTAAGAGTGAAGAATTCTCGCTCATGTGGTGGAAATCATCTGGCATCTCTCTGTGTTTGACATTAGTGAGGGCAGCACTGTAGAAGGACTGTGTCCTTCTTTGTTGTGAAATACTGGAAGATGGTAATGCAGGACCCTAGTTCTCCTACCATTGCCTCAGCTGCTCAAAGCTGCAGCATCTGACTAAAGGAAGGATCTTGGCATCCTGCTGCTTCCATCTCAAAAGAGGGGTGAACAGAGATTAGTGAAGCAGAACCTTGCTGCTACTTTAAAAGTCATATTTTATTATTTTTTTTTCATATCTCTGATTTCCAAACACCTATTAACTCTTGAATTTTTCTGTAAGCATAGTTGTTGGTTTTAAAGAGTCCTTAAGGACTCCCAAGTATAGTAGGTTCTCAAGAAAGGAACAAGAAATAAATACCTGAGATAGTTTGAGGGTGAATAATTGTGATCATCAGCAGTTTTGTGCTTTTTTTTTTTTTTCTTTTCCCCACCTCCCCTGTGAAATGCAATTTGACAGCTTCTTGCCCCTAGGAGACATAATTCTCCCTTGGATGATAATCGACCTGGTAAATTACAAGAGAGAAGACCTCTTTCAGCAAAGTGTTTTAGAGCCCTTTCACCAGGAGGTTGTTGTTAGGTGTAGCCATGCCACACTGATTTCCCTTCTGCACATTCCTGATTCACATTAAAAATAAGCTTTAAAAGTTGGCTGCTACCTTTAAAGATGCAGTAAATACAAAGGAAAACAAAGGCATTTTCTGAGCAGGGTAAAAACACTGTTTTAAGAGTTAGCCCAAGTCTCTTTATTGTAATTGCTTCCCCAGCTGAAGGAATTGCTGGGTGAAAAAATTCTCTGAGGATCTGTGCTATGCAAAGTAGGAGATCTTTTAGCCCTGAGTGTTTGCTTTGGAAACAGTTTGTTATAACTCACCACTGATTTTCATCTCTATTTGATTTATCTTCACATTTCGGAGTGTACCCTCTATATGCAGACTGGATCTGAACACCTTGAGTTAGGGAAATGTGACAAGAATGCAGCTGTGTGCTATAGAATGCTCAAGGATAAATATTTATGTTTTTTTTCTTCCACACTTCTTCAAGTGTGGAGTCAGATATCTCACTTTCTTTTGTGCATTTGTGACTTTTTAGAAAGTAAGGATGATATGAAAATCAGCTAACTGTAAAATCCTCAGTATGAAGTTTTGTTCCCTCCTAACTAAATTTGTTTTTATTACTTAAACTATTTATAGTGTAAGCTTACTTCTTCAATAGGAAGAGTTCCTCAGCAGATAGCTTTTGTACTTGTACTATTAATGGATTGGAGTGTAAATTTTATATATACTTTTTTCAAAAATGTGCAGTTTTTAAACTGTATGGAACATAGATGTTTTTCTGTAATATGAATGGAATTCAATAAAGACTGATTCTAAAGAGGAGTAACCGTAGGTCTGTTTTTTGGAGGAGATAAGCTGTCTGAATAATAGTGCATTTGTTCTCCGCTTCTCTTTTCTTCTGTAACTTAATGTTCCTTTTCAGTGTACAGCTGGTAAACTGGCATTGCCAGGGTTCTGCAAAAGTGTTTTATTCGCAGTTTTGGGAGACAGTGGATCTGGATAAGATGATGATTGACTACAAATTAATTTATCCTGTTTTTAGCCAAACAGTAACACTCTAGCAAATGTGTATACAGAGACAAATCAATTCCTTCAAGAAAACACTTAATTTTCTCAGTCCTTGATTGGCAGTTGCTGGCAGTGTTGAGGATTTGAAAAATGATTGAACTTGTGCTTGCACATCTGGCTACAGTACATTCATTAATACGCTTTTTCTGACTGCTGCATGCAGTACTGCATCTACTGGAAAAAAAAAAAATCTAGAATGTTATAAAATATGAAAAAAATACAAAAAATATGAAAAAATACTAAAATCTGAACTGTGGAAAATGAAATCCTTCACGTCAATTGTTCTTTTAAATTTTGGATATACAAACTTGCACCCATTAAGAAGTGAGTGTTGGTACAAGCAAAAAGTAGTTCAACACTGTATCATTATCATCATTGGTAGTGCATAGGATTAGTATTTTGAAAAATACAATACAAACTCAACTTTTAAATAGTTCCCATTTCTATTTTTATTTAATTTTTTTTCTGTGCTACAAACTGATTTGGGTATGTTCTACTAGCAGGCTAAGGTTACTTTGTACAGAACAATTTCAGTTTACTGGGGCCTGAATTACGCATACAGAAATTCATTACTGGAATTCAGTTTTTGAAGATTTAGCTTAACTTGTAGGAAAATTCAGGAGAAAGCTGTAGTTGATTTCACTGGGTCGTGATCAGAGCATCTGGATATGCCTCATCAGGTGATGCTGTTTCAGTTTTCTATCTCCTGTGAGTTTAGATAGGTTTCAGACAATGTTTCAACATGTTAACACAAGACTAGGTGACATGAATTTATCAAATGCTAGGTTATAGTATATTGTCTATTCTTGAAATAACCAAATCTAAGACAAAGGATTTTTCTTACCATGACAGCTTGGATCTTAGGAGGTTGCTCATTTCTACTTCAGTCTGTGCTTAAAACTTGAGCCTTATATGTCAGGTCTTTCCTTGCATTATGTTGTGAGCTTACACTGCATTGCATAAAGATCTGTGGTGTCTGTGCTTCCTGTCTAGTCAGTGGAAATAGTCAGGAGCCTTGAGGGCATCAATCAGAGCGTTGTAGTGCTTCACAGAGTAGTTATGGCATTACTTCAGTAAGTAGCATGGACAGAAATAACTTTCATGTGATTTGGAAATAAAACAGTACAGTTTTGTGACTGCACTGTGTTAGGTGATGTTGACTGTTTCTCAGGCAGTGGTCTTCCTTTAAACACAAAGTTGGTGCTAAGTTCTTGGGCCTGGTCCTGCCTGCAGATCAATTGCTTGGTGATGTCTCTTGATGTTTGACCTGGGAAAGCTTTATGAAGGAAAGAGGCTTCATTGATCAATTAAGTTTGTCAGGATGATGTTGGGAGCAGTAATTTATTTTTAATGTCTAGATGGGATTTTACATTTAATACTTCAAAATAAAAGTAAAGCTCGTGTCTCTTATGGTATTTTCAATCTAACTACTTATCTGACAGAAGAGTAATGTATCAGCTCATAAAGGAATAAGAAACTAAAAGCATATACTTTAAGGAATCTAGTAAATGTGAGCTAAGTACATGGCACCCTTAGATTCTCAGAAAAATTAAAAGTCAGATAGTTCCAGATTCTGTTACATTGTTTAACAGTGTTTCAGCACTTGGGAGAAAAAAAAAAAAAAAAAAAAAAAAAAAAAAAAAGGTAGTTAAAATATATCAAACTAGAAGCTTTTTAAACCTTTTTTTCTTTATGAACTACTAATCTTAACTTCCTGAAGAGGGAACTTTAAAGATAACAGCTGAGAGCTGATGTCTTCATTACTATTTGCTTTTTTCCATAAAAGAAAAAAGACATACTTCATATAATATGCATACACATACATATTAGTTTTAGCCACATTAAGCAAAATAGATTTATTTTTTTGGTGATTGGTATTTTTGAAAGAAGTGGTAATACTTCGGGGTGGGAGAATAGGAGCACATGATGGGCCTTGTTAATCTTTTGTGATAGTTTCAGGTACATCTAATCCTACTCCAAGTTACTTTTGCATTGACCTACTGATTCATTCTTTTTACAAAAATGACTATTTACGCATGAGAGTGTATAGGTCTGACATTATGTATAGCTTGATCCTGGTGTCACTCAGGGCTAGTTACAGTGCTCTTGCACTGATATTAGGTGGGTGACAAGAAGACTTGCAGCTCTGCTTCCCCTTCCTCACCATGAGCTTTTTTGGGAACTTACTCTACTCTGAGCATATTCAGGTAAATCACAGAACTGTAGGGATTGGAAGGAACATCTGGAGATCGTCTAGTCCAACCCCCCCTGCTAAAGCATGTTCCCTACAGTAGGTTTCACAGGAAAGTGTGCATGTGGGTTTTGAATATCTCTAGAGAAGAGGAATCCACAATTCCAGTCTGAGTACTTTATCACTCTCAAAGTATTTTTTTTTTTTCTCTCGTGGGGAAAAAACTTCCTGTGGTCTAGTTTGTGCCTGCTGCTTCTTGTACTATTCCTAGACACAACTGAGAAGAGCCTGGCCCCATCCACTTGACCTCTGCCCTGTGGATATATATATATGCATTGGTAAGGTCTCTCCGATCAGTCTTCTCCAGGTTAAGCAGTCCCAGGTCTCTCAGCCTTTCCTCATAAGAGAGAAGCTCCAGGTCCTTAATCATCTCTGTGGCCTTCCATTGGACTCACTCTGCAAGTTCCTTGTTTTTCTCACACTGAGAAGCCCAGAATTGGACACACAGAACTCCGGTTGTGGCCTCACCAGGGCAGAGTAAAGGGAGAAGATCACCTCCCTCAACTTGCTGGACATGTTTTTGATGCACCCTAGGATGCCACTGGCCTTGGCCACAAGAGCACACTGCTGGCTCATGGGCAACCTGCTGTCCACCAGGACACGTAGGAATTTCTCTGCTGATCTCTTTCTCAGCAGGTCACTTCCTAACCTGTGTCAACACATGTGATTATTCCTCCCCAGGTGTAGGATCTGTACTTGTCCTTGTTGAAGCCTGTAAAGTTCATCTCTGCCCAACTTTCCATCCTGTCCAGTTCACTCTAAATGGAAGCACATTCTTCTTCAGCCACTGAATGTCAGCCTCTCCTTCCAGCTTTGTATCATCAGCGAACTTGCTGAGGGTGCATTTTATCCCTTCATCCAGGTCACCGATAAAGATGTGAACAAGACTAGACTCTTTCCTCCAGTATTCAGATACCTCTTCCATTTTCCGTGACTTTTGAAATACGATAGAACATGCCTTGGCAGTCGTTTCTGCCAACTCCCTCAACACTGGTGGCCCCTTCAGGAGCCACAGATTTGTGTGTGTTATGTTTGCCAAGCTGATTTCTGACTACATCTCCCTTGACCAAATGTAAAAATAAAAAGTAACAAGTTGGAATTCTCCAGGAATATCAGACATTCATTTACTTGAAGTTTATCCCCTATAGAAACTTGTGAGGCAGTGCATTGTAAAGATGCTGAGTTATGTAGTGGTTAACAGCTTATTTCAAACAGCAATAGCTGACGTGAATGATAAGCAATTATCAAATTATATACTCAAAACCATGAAGAAATTTCAATGCTAACTATTTTCTGTGTGCAGAAGTAGTGTTGTTACTCATTCAAAAGCTAACTTCATATGTTTTGGAATTTGTTCTTTGTTTTCTATTTATTTACTGTGAACAGTGGAGGAAGATGTTGCCAGTAATCTGGGTTGCACTTGGAATGCTATGTGGGGCTTCCCTACAGACTTCCTCTGGAGGATTAATGGGGCTGAGGAATGCAGCTGTGCAATGCCAGTAATGCTGTTCTAGTACTCAGAAGTGTGCCACTTGGGGTTGCACAAGCACTTTCAACTGCTGAGATTTTTCAATACATCTGTTTACTGAGTGTGGTTAACCCCAATTTACTGCTGAAATAAATGACATAAAGAGAGTTATTTAAGGTCACGCTATACTTCAGTGGTCAACCTGTGTTCATAATCCATTTTCTATTTCCATATTTGTAGATTGCCAGTGTATAGGACTTTAGTTTTATCTTAAGCAATTCAGTGAAAGACTTGATCTCCGTGTGTATTTGAAGCTGTAGATTTACGCCATGTAGAATTCTACTCTGTTGATAATATAAACTTCTTCCCCTTTGCATTTTATAATAAAAGTCAGTTAGGTTTTATAGTAAAAATGGCAATGACATCTAGGGACTATCATATTTCCTGCCTTCCTTTGAGTACATCTGTTATGCCTTGCTCTGCAGTTTGACATACTTTGTGTAGGTAACCTGTCTGCACAAGAAGGAAATGTATTTCACAGGTGCAGTTATAAAAGTCACCCATGTGAATGTTTAGATGTGGATATTTCTTATGGACCTTATCCTGATTTGGCACCCATAGTTAAACAAACACATTTATTCACTTCCTGCTGTTTATAAACCAATAAATCCAGAACTATCTTTCTGTATGTTCACTTCACTATAGGAGATAATATAAAACTTTGAGAAAGTACAGTTGTCTTCCTTACAAACATGGTCAATATGAAAAGAGGTGAGAATTCAGTACCTCTGGAACATGAGCAAATCAGGATGTGAGTAGTCTTTTCAACAATTAGTGCGAAAGCTGATGGAGATATTTATCTCATTATGGAACCATTAGCACTGGTTCAGCTGTCCTCCTCAAAAAGGATTATTTCCATGACCTGGTCATGATTGTGTGTTATTCTGCCTAATTTCTCTCACAACATTTTCTGCTTTTATAACATCATCTGTTCATTCAACATTTCTTATAATTTCATTCTTATCTTTCAGTCCAACTTATTTTGTAAGCAAAGCTTCTTCTGCGGAGAGGGGAGTGTTACTTCTTTTCTAGTTCTTCCTTTCTCTGCACTTTTCACGTCTGTTCCCTTTCATAAAATTTTTTGGATTCTTCTGAGAGTTACATTCTTTACATGAGACAATGAAGTTGTTAGTGATAAGGGACGAAATGAAAGTGTTCTGGAAATAACACTGTGGTACATTCTGTGTCTTTCCAGCTATGCTGCACTATGGAAGGAGATGTGAAATACTTTACACTCACTGAGTAAATAATGGCTGTTAAAAACAAACACATTTGAATTAACAGAACTGGATAGCTTTTTCCAGAAAGTCCTTTAATGAAAAGCTGGAAAAAGTATGTACAGAATAAGAAACTGCATTTGGAATGCAGAGTAAAAGGAGATCACTGGAGTTCAATGTGAAATAGGTAACTAATGGTTGCTTCTGCTATACTAGAGAAAAAAGGCCAGTGTGTTCCAGTGTGGGAAGGGGAACGTAGGAATAAAAGTTCACTAACAGTAAGAAAAAGATAAATTTGTGTAATTGAGTGGTTGTTTGTCTCCAAGACAGGTGCTTGCAAATGTAACGCAATATGTATTTCAATACCATGCAAAGTACTCTATAAGCTTAAAATTGAATCAGTGCAGATTCAAAGACAAGAGAAATAGATCCATTAGCTATCTTCTAATTTTTGATTGAAAGTAGAAATTAATCTCATTCCAAGATTGTTTGTATCACGAGATACAGGACATTGAAAGGCAGTCTCCTCCTCTGGTTTGCTTATTTACTTGTTCCAGGAGGTCTGAGCGTTATAAAAGGCTTCGGATACTGGTAGCATCTTTATCATAATTAAAAATAGTCCATTATGAAAATATCTATTTGTAACTATTATCAAATTATTTTAACATACAAGGGATGCTCTTTGTTATGTTGGCCCATGACATCAGAGGCGGATGTTGGTAATATGGTGATTGAGGATGAACCTTCTTGCCAATATTCTGTTGTATTTTGTTGCCATGTAACAGATGGCAGCAGAGGGACCCTCCAACAAATGGCATCTGATCTGGAAGCACATATGAAGCAAAGATGTGTCATTCCTCCATGTGAAAGAAATGGCACCCACTGACATTCATCAACACTTGCTGAATGTTTATGGGAGTAAAACTGTGCATGCGAGAATGGTAAGGTGGGAGGTGGTGCATTTTAGCAGTGGAAAGAGGAATGTGAAACGTGAGTCATGTTTTGGATGGCCATGCACAGGTATCACACTGTAGAATGAAGAGCGTCTCAATAAGTTCACGTGCATGAATCAGCAGATCATGACCAGGGAACTGTGTATAGAGCTGAATATTGGTTTTGATGCATTGGAAACAATGGTAGCATTATTGGAATATTGCAGAATTTGTGCCAAGTGTACCCTATAAATGATCACAGCAGGATAAACACAGTATGCAAACTTGTCAGGACCCATTGAACCAATATGAGGCTGAAGGTGAATATTTTCCATATCATATCATTACTGATGACAAGATGCAGTGTCTTTAACTGTGTGTTAGAGGCAAAATGATAGTACATGGAGTGGCAAGATGTGAATTCTCCATTGAGGAGAAAGTTCAAGACGTGGCTGTTGCTGTGCAAAATGATATACACTGTCTTTTGGAATAGAGAAGATGATCTTTCAGGATTTCCTGGAACCCAAACAAACCATCAACGCTAACTGGGACATCATGGCTCGGACTAATCTGAAGGCTACAACTTCCAGAGTCAAGTCAGCAAAGACTGCCCTTCTCTTTCAACAGGTCCAGTGCCAATTTGAATTCTGTGGAGCACATTGCCAATCTTGGCAGGATTGTCCTACCACGCCTGTTGTATAGTCTGGATTTGGCATTTTCTGACTGATATCTTTTTGGGCTGATGAAAGATGGACTGCATGGGTAAGATTATCCTAGCAACAGCATGATCATAGCAGCTCTAAAAGAGTGTGTCACCTCCACTGGTGTGGATTTTGATGAGCTCTTGTTCATCGCTGGTAAAAATGTATAGCTAATGGTGGTGACTGTTGAAAAAGATGTTTTGTAGCTAAGAATTTGCTCTGTCAAATAGTATTACTATGCTTTTTGTGTTTGTTGTAATTTCCATAGAAATAAATAGGAGTCATTACTTTTGGAGTAACATTCATAAATTAATGATTAAATTTTGATAAATTTATCTATTTTTAAGATCTCTGCTTTTTTAGAAAAAAAATCAGCATGTAATGGATGTGAAGAGATTTTGTGTGTATGCATTTTATATTTGATTTTTAGTTTGAAAACTAGACTTCAAGTATGAGTTGTCTCACATATCTGTAAAAATCTGCTGTTAATTAGAGTATGGTGCTGAATGCAAGGAAGTGTTTTTGCAGGGCTCCACTTTTTTCAGTACGCAGAAGAACTTACAACTAATGTGGCCTTAACACTGTTATGTTTTGGATTGATAATATAAGTCATGGTAAAAGAATTATTGTTTGGGTTTTTTTGTTGTTAGTTTTTTTTTTCGTCCTTGAACTAAAGACAAAAGCTGAGACAAAAAGCATTTTATTAACACTGTATCCTTGCATGATTCCAGATGGAAATACTTCAGTTCTCTTGAGATTTCTGTTTTTCTTTCCCACAGTAACCAAATTGTCTCTCTCAAGTGCATAAATGGTGCTGGAATTGTCAAGCTGATTGAGCAACTTAAAATAATGAAATAGACATCTGTCTATTAGGGCTATACCCACACTTTTCTGATAACATCCCTGCTTGGAAAACCTCCCTCTTTCTTTCTCATTTACTATGCAGATGGCCATATAAAAGATAGCTTTTTCAAGAGAGAATGAAACATCACTTGGAATAGTAGCTAAAAACAGAGAATGCACTTATCTCTGTCATTATTAATCTCAAAATCTCTTTCATGTGGATTAAGAAGCAACTATCATACAGATATTTTTTTTTTGATAAATTAATATCCATGTAATAATGAAATGAAAGCCTTTTAAGAAATTGTCAGAATAATATTTATATCATACCAAATTTATAACGTGCCTCATGTTAACAGGTGCTGGTTTTACCAGAGTTGCCTTTTCTTTAAATGCTTCCTGAGTGAAATTTTCTTTGCAAGACAGAAGGTTCTATGATACTAGGTCCATAAGACATGTTTCCTTGGTGTATGAGAGGCTTGTATCTTTGTTGAGGCAAATGTATAGTAGGAGTTTTTGTTGTTGCTATTTGTTTGTTTGCTTTTGTACTTTTTGGAGATTGAAAAAAATACAATAAAATCCAAAAGGTCTTTATCTTTTCTTTCCTCTACCAGAGCAATTTTAAAGATTCTGTTGACTCCTGTTTATCACATAAGCAGGGACAATGCATATTTTTAAGTACTGTAATGCTGATAGTATTCCACTTATTAAAGCTTTCAGTGCCGTTGGAACCTTGACTAAAACATCTAAATTTCTGGAAAATCTTGTTCGGCTACTGTAGCAGAGAATGAAGAGGAAAGTGTGCATAGATATGTGCACATCAGATCCATTTATGGATCATGTTTAGTGATTTTCCTTTTGAAACTTCCATGCATTGTAATTCTGCGAATCTGCTGCATTTGTTTTGCTGGATATAGTCTGTTTATATTTTGGTTCAGCATTGCTCCTCAGATATCTATTCTTAATCTGTATTGCACATTGATACTCTGTGTGAAAAACTTGATCTTTTTCAAAGCTTGAGTTCTTATCTTCGAATTCCTGTTTTTTTAATTTGTTTGTTGTTTTTTTTTTCCTGTTTTTTTTTTTTTCCATGAAACTGCTGTGAGCTGAAAAGTTAATCTGTTCCTAAAACCTGTCATAATCAAATCTTAGAGCTAATCAAATAATAATCAAATCTTACATAATCATAAATCATAATCAAATCTTACAGCTATGAAACTTGTTTTAAGAATGCTTTCCTTTTGACTTCAACTTGCATTCACACAGTTCTTTATACATCTCATTGAATTGTAATTGGTCTAAGAAATCTCTGGACTGAGCCATTTTTTCTTCCCTTTCTGCAAATAACAGAACAGAATTGTTTTGCACAAATACAGCTCCAGAGCTGAGCACATGGTACTCCTAGGTCTCAATTGTTCTTACTGCACTTGTGAGAAGACACCAAAGCAGTAAATAATATTATTGTGTAGTGGCAAAGGCAACTCAAGGACAGTAAGCATTTGAATTTGCTCTTCAACCTAATGTACATAGTTTGCTTAACAAGGCTACATTACTGTAGAATGGAAGAGCAGGAACTTTATGGCAATTCTAAGGCCAGTAGTGACTTAAGTTTATACGTATGCCTTCTTCATTTTTTTTTGTCTTGGACTTACTGGTTCTCAAACACTTTGTGGTAGTTGATGCATTTACAAAACTTAGGAATATAACATACAATTGAATGCCCAGCAAACATTTGTCTTTTACTTATTGACATGCTTGCAGGTGTCAGAATGCAGTAGTATCCTCAATGTGAACTCAGTTATATAAAAGCATTCAAATAATATCTGTCCATGAGCAGAGGTAATCTAAATTTTTGTTTTGGTTTGGTGTTTTTTTTTTCTGCAAAATAAGGAACTCAGGTTTGAACTGCTGAAAGAACTGGGGCAGATGCAGATTCCTGGCTTTCTGACTACCAAGATAAGATTCTTAGGAGGGCAAGTCATTCTACCTGAGGACAGAGAAAACCTAGCTGAATTAGAACAACCTATTTCTTCTTGTCTATCCATGAGATATAACTACCATCTTCTTTACATTGCAGGAAAGGAAAAAAGAGAGCTGGGCAACTTGTCTGTGAGAGCTACAGAGTCTATCATGTTTGGGTTTGAAAGCATTGTATGAAAAAAATCACGTGATCTGCTGACTGAGGATTTATATGGCCAGAAAATAGGGCTAAATTCTACTCTTAACTCAGGTCTGAGGTGCTCTTGAAGGGATGGTGAAATTCCTCATCCAGCTTGTCTTTTATCTACACCCCTATGTATCTGTATCTTGAAGTCAGATCAGCTTCAGTCATGTGTGCTGCCAGCTTCACTCATACGTGCTTGCAGTGCTGTAGGTTTTTCCTGTTCCACCTCCTTAATTAAAACTCAGGAAAATAAGGCAAGTAATGTGCTCACTGAATGCACATTGTTGAGTAATAGTAAGGATGTTTTATTATGTCTTAAAAAAATGTCTTGGATGGTGTTCATATCAAAATTGTCTTCTAAGGAAATAGATTTTTGATTCTCATTATATCTACTAATATATTTTGATTGGAAGAAATAAGCTCAAATATCTGATGAGTTAAGCATTTTTCCATAAGAAGTGGCAGTTGGGGTCACTTCACTGTTCTTATTTACAGAGTACACCCAAAAAGTCAATAGGCTGCGTGAATCAGAATGAGTAATGTTCCAGGGTTATAATATTCAGATCAAATACTTTCTTTCTAATTCCATCTCTGCTATACCACCTGAATAGTTTACAAAGAAAAAGAAATTGTTACGTAGTGAAGATTTATAAACTGGGTGTTTTGATTAACAGTCTATTGTCATATGTCAGTTAAAGTCATTATCTATTTTTTTCTATATATTCAGGTCATGCAGTGAAACTGGGGAGTTTGAATTGTATTGAAGTACAATATACAAATAGTACTGTATATAACAGGACGTGTAGGGGGAAAAATATCAGCAAATGTGTAGGAAACTCCAAAAATTTTTTTTTTTTTTTTTCTTTTAAAGACTATGAATTTTCTCAGGGCATCCCTCAAATGTATATCCAAATAGTCCAGTGTATATACAAATACCCAATAGAGGCCAGTAATTACAGCTTGATTAATTTGGAGTAGAAAAATGTTGAAAAGAATGTGCTACTTAATGTGCTACTTGTGGTGAAAAGCAGTTTGTTTTTTTTTTTTTCTTTTAGATTATCATAGAAATGCTAAAAATATGTTGATGCCCCCACAGACTTGTATGCATTTAGCTCTCATTGTGAGTTTTGTAATTACATGAAAGTCACAACTTTACTGTAAATGAGAGTTTTTGAATCCATTTTCAAATAGACACTATTTTGGTTTAAATTTCTCTCATGGAGTTCTAATGGGTTTGTAGAATTTCTAGCATCTGGACAAGAGTCTGTCTTTTTACAGTGCTTGTCAGCATCACCATTTATAGTCTGTTCAGCACGCAATCTACTTCCTGCTGTGAAAATGCTGAGCTATTCTAGCTTAGATGCACATGATCTATGAGTGTTGGATGCCTCTATCCTATGCTTAATGCCTCCAATTACTTCATGCTTATTTGTCATAAGTGTAGACATTGACCCAGTCTTTGTGTTGGAATGTGTATGTAACAGAGGAATGACTGATGGAGCAATGTAATTGTGTGATGCAAATAACACATGTATTCTTCAGACATGAATGTTATATCTTGCAACTAGCAAAAATAGTCATCTTCTGGGCTGATAGGTGTCCATCATTTTCATCTGTCAAATGTTAGTTGATATGATTATCAAGTACTAAATAGAAATTTTTAATCTTTTTCTAATGCTATTCAAACTAATTTTACATCATCAAAGGGACAGTATTTTCTGTTTTTAAAAGGCAAGTTTATTAATTATGATTTTAAGATACTTGTGCATATCACATAGATACACAGCTTGGTGTTTGTGAGTTTGAACTCTTATGTAGCAGTGATGTCTTAAGTGATATAAATGACATCAGTAAGTAAGCAGGATAAAAAGATATTAAACAGGCCTATGCATAGCTTGTTTTCCATTCCCCACCACTTTTTTTTTAAATAATCATAAAGTGATGAGATTTTCCTTGTTTGTTTTTTGTATAGAGAGATTTAGGAAAGATTCTTCTTGACATCATCTCCTGGGGAAAAAATACTTCGGGAAGGAGGCTACACTGTGATGTCACTA